AAAATCAAAATTTAAAGCTAACCATTGAGTTTAGGAAAACTTTTCTACACAACTTTTTTCACTGAATCAAGTAAGATTTTGAAGGAAGTTAACGACTTTGTAGTTAAAATAAGTGAAAAAAAATTAAAGCAATATTTTAAAAACTTATAACATTTTTAAATGATTTTATAATTTTTATTATACGAATGTTATATGGGAATCTTTTACAAACTCAACATTTAGAAACATAAACTGGAAACAGATTTTAACAATTACGTTTTATTTTTCATGCTATTGTTATCAAGCATCTGTTTTTTATTACTTTTATGTAAAATTTCTTTCTGAGAGAATTTTTTTTCTCCTTAACTGTAAATTAAAATAAGCATAAAAAATTGTTATTTAAGTTACAAAACTAAGTTCATAAATTAAACGTGAAGAACAACAGTAGAGAACAGCTTCTTAATCTGCATATCAACAATTTGCTGTACTTTGGCGAAGTTTTGTGTCTCTTAACTGGAAAAAAAAACGTAACGTAATAAAATATTGGTATTTAAGCAACAAAGAATTTGTTCTATATCAGCCTACAGAACTTCAAAAGGTGCTATTTTTTTCGCTGATAACTAATTTTGCTAATTTCTCATCGCTTTGAATTTTGCATTCTATTTATTGTTTTGATTTTCTTTTCCTTTAAATTGCTCAGAAACTTGCAATTTTAGTGATTTGCTCGGTGTCTCTATGTGTTCGTATAAATCTTGTAATTTTTTTACGACGGAAATCTTAACTGATTATTCTGTACTTTTATAAAAATGCAAATTCGTTTTTTAATGTCAATTTGCTTTTAAATTCAAGATCAATCATATTAAATTTTGTACAAAATTATTTATACATTATTTATACATAGAAAAGTACTGTTTGATATTTTGAGTTTAAATTGAAAATTAATTTATTTCAAAACCAATTCTTTAAAAATTAATAGTAACTTCCATTCTATGTCAAAAATTATGCACATGACATAGAGTTACCATAACTCCTGTAAGTTAATATGTAATAAATATTTATTTTTACAACGGAATACTTTGCTTGCTAAGATCTCGGCCAAAATTGTTAAATTGTTTTCTATATGCTATACATAATATAAAATAATATAATACTATGTAATATACTAGCTGTATACCGTTCTTCTCGTACTGGTTAAATGAAAAAAATCAATTAATCTATACTAAACGACACTACGAAATCGTGCACAAATCTGAGAGGCATATACTCATGCAAATTAGCTGAAAAATCAGGTAAGTGACATATTTAGGGATATTTATGAATCAGAGAAAATAACAGGCAGTGGTTGTATCAATATGAGTATGTTTACTGTAACAGAACTGTTTTTGCTTTGACATTAATTATAACGTGACTAATCCACATTAGCTTCTACTATGTTTGCATGATTTTTATTTTATAGCTAAGCAGTGGTAAATAAATAGGATAGATCATTATAATCTAGCCATCCAAGAAAATCTGTAATATAATAGTTCGGGGACCATTTTTATTTCTCGTTACCCTGATTATAGTCTCTCTGAGTATGTCACTTACCTGGTTTTTCCACTAAGCTCTACAATTAGCAAAGCTAAAGAAATTTCATTTTTTTATTTATTGTCATTTGTTGCCCTTCACGGTGGTTTTACGTTATTATATTAAGCATAACACTTTTTTATTGTTCATTCCATCAGAAAAGAGATTAATTGTATTTAGCATCACTTGGCGTGATTATATTGTTCAACCCAATGATAGTCAAAATTTACCACCACCTTCAAATAATTTTCTCAGGCATGTAAGACTTTCAAGGTGCTGTAAAACGATTATTTCCACAGTATCGGCATTGAAACTGCTAAGTATTGGTGCAGTTTTAATAATCAGAAAATATGGTAAACTAACCAGTGAAGGAACACTTAAGCTTCGCTTGCCTTTTAAAAAATCATATTAATTTCAAAATTCGTAATTTTAGTTAAATGACAGTGTCAACATATTTGTTACTCATTGCAAATTATGTAAAAAAAATTGTGGAGAACTTACATAATATTGTTTTAAAGTTTTGGAGGTTCAAATACAAGTAGTAAGAAGAGTAAGTGAAGGAACAGCTCTTACCAGTGAATGACCATACCTAGTAAAGGAACACTTAATTTTGGTTATTTTTAATGCTCTTTATGAATTTATAAGCCATACAAATATTTAAAAACAAGCCTATTCTTGAAATTATAACATATAAATACTTGGAAAATGTTAACTTTTTTTTGTAATCATGAATTGAAAATTAAAGTGTCAACATATTAACACATCCTTCATTCACTGGGAAATCTATGCCCAGTAAAGGAACATGCCTGTTCCCTCACTGGTTAGAATTGTTTTTCGTATTTTTAACATACTTTTAATACGGAACATCACTAAAGGTACAAGAAAATTAAGGTTCATCTCTTATTTTCATTAACTTAGAAAAAAAAACAGAAAAGGAACACTTGTTCCTTCACTGGTTTTTCATCGTTTGGTGATCCAGTGAATAAACATCCCCTTATCTCAGTACTTGATTATGCTATGATGCTTAAAAAAAATAAAACGTAACTTCAATATATTTTGAATTCTCTTTTTCACAGTGAGAAAAATAAAACTATTACATGCAATTAATTCCACTTCAAGCATATAAATACAAACACTCACCTTATAATTTTTTCAAAGAAGCAAGGTGTTTCAATAACAAATTCAAAAATTTTTCCAGAGAAGTCTATTTGACCAGGTAATCCAAAACATTGCTAGATGACTTCCTATTGTTTGGCAGTAAGCTATTGTTACCAATCAATCTCAAGAAAAACTTTCAAATTCTTATTTTTAATCAATTGTATATAAAATGTTCATTCACTGGTTGGTTTACCCTACATCAATATAATACTTTTTACCTATATTAGTATATTCGTATTTTATTGCATTTGAATTTTACAACATTTGAATTTTGTGCGAAATACATTTATCAGGGGCATCAAACTAAACCCGGAATTTTAAAAACAAAATAAGATTCTTATAAGGCATTCATAGGGACCTTGGAGCATGACCATTTCTCTATCTGACCTTTAATTCACTGTCAAAAGTGGTTATAAGTAGTGGTCTTTCTCTCTCTCTTGTTCTGGTAAGGTTATTGATCCTTTTGCTAAAACACATATGTCCTTCCCGAATTTTTTGCTTCCTTTTTTATCGTTTCCTTAAATAAATCATATTCTGGTCAAATCACAGAATAGACACTTTTTCAAGGAAAAAACATGATTCATAATATTGATCTGAAAGATTTTAAAGAAGCGAATGATTAATATGAGAAAGGCTAGTATTAGGAAGTTCCTTATAAGAACAATAAAACTCGGGCTATTTTTAAATAACCCTGAGTTCTAAATGGAATCAAATGGTTTTCAAATCAAATGGTTTGCTTGATGATCAGGTGATAGAGTGAGACAGATCGACCAACTGTTCAATTTGAAGAAGCTGTTGAAATTTTTTTACGTGTTTCAAACGTATGGTTGCTTAAATAATTAAAGTCTGTGGCGTAACTACCACTACTGTTATTAAACATATATTCACTAGTGTATTAGACGTGTTAACTCGATTCTATCTTGAGGTACCTTTAGATAGATGAAGATTGACATTGTCGATAACTGCTCGCCCCTGATTGGATACCTGCGGACGTGATATGAAATCGCCTACCTCGACAGTTACGCTTTCTTATACGGATGGTCCACATTGAACAGTTGATTTGCTATTTGTGACTGCGACATTGTCCTCCTCACGCTTTTGCTTCTCAGTATCATTTACACACAACGTGATCCTGCACACACTCCATTGCTAATAGCAACACAGGTGAGACAAAACACAACCGTGAACTTAATACAGCCCTCAAGACAAACGTTCAAAACTCTCTCATTTTAATATAGCTCTCAACACAAGATCTCAAAATCCGGTGAACTTAATACAACTCTCCCGGTCTTTCACAAATACTGCAACTAATTCAATGCATGATAAAATTCTAGTGGGAGAGTATTGTGGCGTAACTATCGCTATGATTATTAAACATAATTTCACTAGTATGTAAAACGTGTTAACTCTATTTTATCTTGAGAGGTACCTTTAGATAGATGAGGTTTGACAATGTCAATAACTACTCGTCCCACAAAGTGTAAGAAATTCGTATTTACGTTTAAATACTTAAAAATGTATGATTTCTAATGGCTTAACCGAGCATTTAAAATTAAATAAATTAAACAATTTTATATCACGCACGGAGAAAAATTTTTTGTCAAAATTACCATACCTGTAAAGACATTTCTGGTAAAAAAAAAGAGCATAATTCTGGTAATTGAATAAAAATTATGGTATTTAAACTATTTATTTAGTAATTTTTCTGTTCGTTATAGTAATAATTTACCCTTTTTTGCACCCTTTTTTCAATCAGAAAAACTTTTTCATCAACTGAAAATAACATCTAATGATTCAGAGTTCAAATTAAATTATTGCAAACCCGATTGTGAAAGGATAAAATTAAAAAATACAATTGATTAACTTTAGTACCAAACTAATAATCTTCCAAACCAAATTAATAAATAACAGTAAAAATGAATAAAATCAAAACAAGTTAAATTAAAAGATTTTTTTTGACTTGCACAAAAACTAAAGCTTTTTTCAAGTAAACCCAACAATCATAAAATTGCGTTTTTTTTTTTTGCTTTTTCGTCTTCTTTTAAAAATAATTGTTGAAGCTCAAATTATAGATTTTCTTTATTACTCCATTAAAATTTCTGTAAATGAGTTAGATTGAATATTTAACGTTTTAGATAAAATGTTCTTTGCATCGAGATTCTAAATGTTTTAAATTTTTTTCGTTCTTTTTATTAAAGTAATTTTAATCAGTAATTAAATTTCAATGTTCAACTATTTAAGTCAAATAAGTTATTTTGCACTGAAAAATTAATATTTTCAAAAAATGGAACGAAAAATAATAAATAAAGTTTATTTAAATATTAAAAATAAATCACATTACACAAAATGGACAAGTTTCATATAAGTCACAAGTTTACGGATTTTAAATCGACTTTTTTACATACATAAATGTTTTTTATTGTCTGAAACTTTCTGATGAGAAACATTTTGGACATTTGAAGTCTCAGTAAAGATATAAAATGAAATATGACAATTCCAAATACATCACTGAAACCTCTAATAGTTACTCTTAAAAGTTTCTTGGCGTTAAACAAGATTTTTTTGTTACATCAATCTTTAAATTTTCATGCAATGTCAAATTTCTTTCACATAATTCTTCTCTTTTCTTTTGACAACAGCTGTTTTATGAGACATACATGGGAAGTAAAATAATGTGTAGTAGGATACTCCTTTGCAAATTAGGAAAAAAACCATTGTGATGTAGGATTAAAGTAATCATCCACGACTGCATATAGTTACGTTTTATTTTGATATCAAATTATACAAATTTGCTTTCAAAACAATTAAAGTTAAACACGTCGAACAGAAATTTAATTCATGCTATCATTTACGATATATATCACAGAATTATTAAGAAAAATAATCTTTCGTTTCGAAGTCTTACTGGAATCCTTGATTTGGTTACATATTTCGATGAATAAGGAGAAAATTCGCTCTTGGAAAAGAAAAAAAACTATGACGTTGTAAGAGCATTGGATTTGATTGGATCCCTAAAAATGGCTCGTCTTACGTTGACAAGCCCTTAACAAATCAAATGCGAGATAAGGAATTATTACTTTTGTTTCACTGCTAAAGAAAATAGTTTGCAAGAAACAATACTTATTATTCTTTCATCAATTTCTTTAAATATGAATAGAAAAACGCATATTTGTTATTATTTTTAGATATCATTTTTATTAATTCCTATTACTTGTTAATTGATAATTCAGTAAGTTTCATCTTCCTCATTTCTTAAGAAAGCAAGCAAAACGAAGGCTCTGCAACGGTGTTTCTAGAGTTGGCGGTGTTGATATACGTTAGCGATGGGAGCTTGGCGCCTATTTGGCTTACACTTAAATGCAAACATTCTCTATCCATAGGGATCATGTTTTTTTTCTAAACTTGCAACAGAGTATAGTTTATTTAAATGAGATGCAGTTTTTAAAATAATCAACATTTCAGATGAAAAATTTATTAACATTTTCTATGTTAGTGGATGTTTCTAGTGTGAAGTATTTTAATATACTCAACATTTTATATGAACATGTAAAAAGTGATCATTAGTTGGGTCGTGTACTTTTAGTTAATTAACAAAGGTAAAATTATCCTACAATACTCATTTATACTTTTATTAGAAAAATTAAGAGATTTTGAATTTTTTATTCTATTATAAATAGTCTATTACAAAAATATTGCCAGCAATATTTTTTCTAACATCTGATAATAAGAGATAAATGTATTTTCAATAACTTCAAAAATATACACATTGAATTATTAGTTTACATAATCAAATAACAAAACTATATAAGCAGGATTTTTAACAAAATCACTTCTCTCTCAAACACGTAAAATTGAAAATAATTTAAAATTGAAACACAAATTCGCAATTTTGATCTAAATAATTATTTTCTTAACTAAATGTATTTTAATTTCGAAAGAGCAATTTTGCACAACATCTCCAAAACTTTGATTTCCGTGAATTAAAAAATATACACTTGCATACAAGGTATAAATAAATTTGGAGTCTTCATAAAAAGAATTGTCTCCTCAATTATTAGAAATTGCACGCTAATCTGGAATAGGGCATTAATTCAACCTCACGTGGCTTTTAATTTGAAAATAATCTTTTAACTTTTTGTCATGAATAGAATTAGAACATACGGAAAATCGCACTTAATTTTACTTTTTAGATATTTACACATCAATAAAATTATTATTATGGCTATTGCAGTTCAATTATTATGACTATTGCAGGTAAGACAATTCCATGCAAATGCATTTAAGAAAATTTTTGTATTTATTAATAATTAGAAAATGCATTAACATTTGAAAAAGATCTCTCTCATTTATTAATATATTACTAAAAGTGTTAAACTGTGCACGCGGTAATTTGTGGAATAATGACAATTTACTGCCGTGTAGCGATTATAAATTAATAATTGTTATGTTAATATAATTATTTGCTGACTCAATTACAGAATTATTAATAAATGCAGATTTGAATTTCCTGGAGATTTGCTACATTTACTACAACTGTAAATACATATTTTAAGCCCCACTCAATAAATTTAACAGATATATACATATCATATATAGTTAAAAATTAGTCCTATTCAACCCTTCAATTATTTAATTAAGAATCACAAGTTTTTTCACAAGAAGTTGTGAGTTGATGGATCACTGTTTCATTTCAAGCAGAAAAAACCATGTTCGAAATTTTTTACAATATACCGACAAGTCCACCGTACATACACCAAACGCATTTTAAAGTAAGTCTTTCTAGGTCCATTAATCTCGTGTTGCTTTTAAATGAATCAGTTCTTTCAGTGGTAACAGATAATTAAAAATAAATCATGTTTTAATATTAAACGAGTTTTTCTGTTTCATTTCATAAAAAACGTTTAAATCTGTAGTTGAAATCCCGTTTAACATACCGAAAAATTTAAAGCACATACACCACGTGCATTAGTCCACGTACATAAGTCTATCATTAAGTTCATTGGCATCAGTAAAAATGACATCTGATCCAGCTTTTTTAGAGTGTAGTCCATAATTACTTCGAACAAAATACAACAATTCTTTTGATGACAACAATTCATTCAATATGTTAACTTCAGTACCAGAGATAGCGTACAGTGACGTTAAAATAACAGTTGGTTCTCACAAGAAGTTCATTGATGGATCCTTAAAATAAATTCCTATAGGTTTAGCATTTGACATGTACTTCAATGGCAACTGTATTATGTTTGATGCCGCTTGTGCAAACTGATCTATGAATTGGTGGCGTTTGTTTGGAAAACCATGTATTATGCTGTGAAGTTTACCGTTTGCTTTCAAGCGCAGCGGCAGTTTGTAAATTGTAGACTGAGGAGCAGAAGCTGAAGCCGAAATAAAGTTTGCAAAGGGATTCACAACAGGCTCTGGCATTGGAACAAAAGGGCTAATAAAATGGATTGGCGAGCTTCCACCTATCAGACGCTTGTCCATCCGAGGAGGTGACATTTCTTTGGATTTGTAGAAATTATAGTGCTTCAATTTGAAGGCTGGCGCACATTCAGAATGAAGGATGCTTTGGAAAACCACTAAAGCAATAACAGAAGACCACATGATCCAGCACCTGAATAAAAAAGAATAGAATTAACTTTTGTAGTCATTTTCAAAGAAATTTTTTAAAATTCAAGGCAGGTTAAGTTTTTTTTTTATTATTTACTTAGAAGTGATAAAAATCTGTCTAACTAAAGAACTTTCCCCGTCAGATATCTAATGCACTATCGGTGACTATGGTTGTGAGATTTAACTATTTCAAATAGGGGTGCTTTTTAATAAAAAAAGCAAATCAAATCACGTCAATAGACTTTTCGAGATATTCAGTAAACATATCGTTAACAAAAGTGCTTGTAAAAGGTGAACATAGTTTTATATTAATTTATTAAAAACTTTAATACCGATATGTTTACTGGAGTCTACTTACTTTAATTTGCATCTTAAATTTTTTTTCAGATATCTAGTTTTTCCTTCGTAATTGCCATTAATCATTGTGGTTAAATGTTTCAAAAACAGCTTGGTAAAGTTATGCATGGTTTTAGACCATTTTTGCCTAATTATAAGAGCGGTTCAACTGAAGAATGCTTTCTCACAATAACAAAAACATATTTCCTTGAATATTACTTACAAAGGAATCATTAATTAAAAGTTGACAAAACAATGAATGACAAACAAATTTATTCATTTCTTTTCATAAAAACGAATAAATTGCGTCAACATTTCCAGGAGTCTTCAGCAAAATTATCGGTATCCAGAATGCTTGTAAAATTCGAATATAATTTAATATTTTTTTTTAAAAAAAATTTGATGGTGGCTCTCTAAAAAAAGTTCAACTATCCAATTATTCATTCATCATCATTAATCATTACGAATGTTTTAAAAACAGTTCCGTAAGTTATACATTAGTTTTAAATTGTTTTTCCATAAGAATAAGAGTACTCCAAATAAAGAATGCTTTTTTAAGCGTGTATAGATTATGGAGTATATTTAAATTCTACGAAGTGTTGAAACGAAATTACTTTCTCACGATGTCAGATGCAGATTTCTGTGAATATGACTTACAAAGGACTCATTAATTAAAAAAAAATAACTGTTCAATCTAACAACGGATGAAAAACAAATCGATTAGTTTCTTTTGAAAAAACAAGTCAATTTACGTCAATAGGATTTCTAAGAACCTCCAGAGAAGTATATCGGAAGATCATCTTCTGTACGAGAAAATAAATAAAAGTTCAGTGCTCTGTTACTGTACATATAAATAAAATTAATAAGTGTTATAAATGAAGCGAATAAAACCATAAAAAAATGTACAACTGGCGTCTAAGAAACGGATCGAATATACCTTAGGGGCACCTTAGTGTTAGGAATTTTTTTTTTTTTTTATGTTTGTTTTTCTGGTGTTACTGTGTGTTCTTTTGTATGTTAGGTGCTAATGCCTTAGGGGAAGCCTTTGAAGGAAAAGAAGAAAAAAAAGTTTTTATACATTCTTTTGGCAAGTAAAATAACAAGGAAAGAATCTTTCTGGTTCATGATTGATTTGATGGGACCACCTTTTTATGATAACCTCACCAACACGAAATTGAACGCAGTTCTAATAATATAAAAAGCTATGAAATTTATTACTGAAGGATTTATCTCAAATAAAGAATTTGCTGGTACACCTTAAACCAGTGGTTCCCAATATTTTTTGCGGCTACGGTCCCTAAATAATCAACCTTCTATCGACGGAACACCAGCTTTACAAATAAAGTTTATTAACGCTATAACCTATAAGAAACTGTTTTTAAAATATTTTATTAGAGGAATGAAGATTTTTCATCGTTTTATCATTAATCATCATAAATTGGGCTTTATGTCCGACAGTTAAATCTGCAGCCGCCCTTGGGTTACAATTAGTCCAGTTATGAATCTGTTTTTGGTGTATATACATTAGCTGAAAATGATTAACATAAGCCGAACTATGCTTTACTTCGAAATGAAAACCTAATAAGTGTTATAAACGTTGGAAAGCATTTTTCTTTATTGAAGAATTTAGTTATTTCATTTTGAATTGAAAAGCGCGAAATGAAATACTAAAGCAATATTTTATAAATGTTTGTTCCATTCATAATTTTTCAATAAATTGTTATTGGAAATTTTTTTCTTTTAAAAAATGTTATTTCTATTTTATTGGCCTTTTACTTGAAATTATTTCATAAAGACAACCGAAGGTATAAATAAATTATGAAGTATGGGTTGAATCTAAATATAATTAGAAATTATAAAAAGTACTAACTTAATACCTTCAGTGAATAACGTAAAATACTCTCAGTGGTAGATGAATCATGGGTTAGAGTCCCCTTGCCATCAGGCTAAACGCGAGAGGTTTCCTTGATTTTCCTCTCCATGTGACGCAAATGTTAGTTAGCTACATAAAAAAAAGTCCTCCATGGAGGCAAATTTCTCCCAATACTTGATCCAGGAGTTTCCTTGTCTTCTGGATTGAGTTCAAAATTACAAGGATAGGAAGTTGAACATTAGCAGTCGTAAACCCGAAAAATTGGGTCGGCTGTTCAACGGCGGTTATAAAAAAAAAATCATAATTAGTCAACTTTCCCCTCCCATTCTCAGAGCTGCACTCTTAAGAAATCAGTACTTTATAAACACAGAATGTATGTTACCGTAATCAGAAATAAAGAAGAATGCGACGGTGAATTTACAAAATCTCTCTATATCCCCCCCCCCCCCTGCAATTAAATGCAGACTGTTTAGCCATGCGATCTCCAAAATAGAAAAAATTACGAATTTTTGTTAACTTTTTGGTATTTTATAATTCAGTTTCATTAAAAAGTCCGAAAAATAAACTTTACAATTTAATAACTTATTTCATAACTACGACATAATGTTTCCTTTACATTGAAAAGTCCAAAAATCCACGAAAAAACTTCTACAGTCATTTTAGAAAGGATCAAAAATAAATCTAAATATTTACTTTGTAACTAATATAATATATATATATATATATATGCTACTGCTCCAAAAGGCGAGCTCCATCATCAATATTTGGTATGACACTATGCGGCACCATAGCACCGTTGTTGTTTAAAACTTCTACAGTCATTTTAAAAAGGATCAAAAATAAATCTAAATATTTTCTTTGTAACTAAATTTTTATTTGTGTAAAATACAAAAATATTCTCAATAAATACTTAACGTATAACTAACTATTCAGCGTATAACTAACTATTCAGCACTACTTAAATTATTACTTAAAACAACCTAACAAAATGAATAATTATAGTATTGCCTGTAGATAGAAAAATATCAGAGTTTATGACGCTATGTAAGATATATATAGAGTGTCAGTAAACATTCACTTTTTAATTGAAATAAGATGGTGATTAATGATGCGTAATATCTACTTTTGCAATATTTTTCCACGTGAGTTCAAATTACGTCTTCACTTTTTACAACACTTCTTTAGATTTAATAAAAAAAATCATAATAATTGTGATGAATAGAATTTGATTCCAAGGATGAGAATATTTCAAGTACAATGGAGATTTAATCACTAAAGGAAATTTTTCAAACCTGTTTGCCTTCAAAAATGATTTTGTTTCGCGCTGTTCAAGTTTAATAAAAAGTAAATGTTATCGATAACTCTTTTACAAAAATATTGGCATGTGTTGGCGAAATATAGCGGGAGAAAAATATTTCTTATACCTTGCTTACAGATTACTTACTGTGCGCTGTCAGAAAGAAAATATGTTCGGCAAATGTTTTGAATTTACTAGAAGAACAACATTTTTCTAACCAAAAACACCATTTGGTACGTTTTTGACGATTCTGAATGTATATTGTTGTTGTTGCAGTTCATTTACGTCGGATTGAAACTGCACAATGGGCTATTGGTGACGGTCTGGGAAACATCCCTGAGGATGATCCAAAGACATGCCATCACAATTTTGATCCTCTGCAGAGGGGATGGCACCCCCACTTCGGTAGCCAGACGACCTGCAAGTGAAGTCGAGCAATTTACGGTAGAACAGTTTAGCGAGGACCAATACCGCGCACCCTCGGTCTCTACGCAGACTGATCCAAGCCGTCACCCATCCGCACACTGACCGCAGCCAGTGATGCTTGACTTCGGTGATCTGCTGGGAATCGTGTCTTAACGATCAGTCCACTGCGGTTATACAGAGTGTTTGGGGATTACAACCTTTCATATACATTTTCCTTGCCAAAAATGTATTAATAATATAAGTCGTAAATTAATATAAGTCTTGGAAAAGACGGTATCAAAACTTTATTGTATTTTATAACTGGCGTTCAACAACTTTTGTGTTTACGACTATTTATGCTCAAATCTGTATCCTTATAATTTTTAACCTAACCCAGAAGACAAGGAAACTCCTGAATCAAGAATGGGGATAAGCTAGCCTTTGTGGAAGTTTTTTTAAAAAGGAAATGACCCGCATTTGCGTTAAGTGGGAAAAAAAACACGAAAACTTCACATGTTTCAATTTAATGGCAAGGACTGATATGTCCGATATTTTATGGTATAATAATATTTTACCGTATGAACCGAGAACAGAATCCGTATCAACCAGCCGTCGCTAGTATACGATCCTGGGTCTCATCTTTGAAAGGCGAGTGCTCTAACCATTGAGCCACCGTTTCTCGGTATGAAAATTGGATGGATTTTGATTTCGAAATTTAAGAGGAAATACATAAAACCAGTTTGATTTACCTGGTAAAACTTCGATAAGTTCCTAGCAGTCGACTTACACTTCCTTTCAGTTCTTTGAGAATAAAATAGGTTTCGATATTTTTTTAATCTCTAGGGGAGAGTGGGGTCAATTGTAACAGGGTACGATTGTAACAGAGCAAAAATTTCGAGTGTCGGGTTCTAGATTTGGTTCCTAGGTGGCGCACAAGGTGTATTTAATAAATCTACATGTACACCCCTGATGGCAACCATTTTTATGTACTTTTGAAAGAGTTACATCACAAAAGATATTTTCACGCCACGCAAGTACTTTTTTTGGTATTAGAATATTATATTGTAACAAAGTAATTTTGTTTAAACAAATA